TCTTTCCCTTCTCTACGTTCTGTTCCTCCCCATCATGCATTGTGTTTTATTAACCGCTCTATCAGCAGCCTGTAAACATGCAGCTCTGTCTCTTGTGCCCCCAGGTCGACCCTTACCCTGACCCTGTGGAGGCGAGCGGGGCTGCAGATGTCAGAAGACCCAACACGTATCCGTCCCGCTGAGGAGAGTCTGGCAGTTCTGAAGGCTTCTTGCACAAACAAGACACCATCAAAGCTTCTCACCAGGTTCTACATCACAGTAAACAAAGCTAGATGCTCGCTGACCTGGGAAAGTCAGCCGTGAGAGTATTCCGCGATGTAGGGAACAGGGATTTAGAGACATGCTGGACTTTACATTTCCTGTAATCAAGGCAAGGCAAAAAAGTTCTCTGACGCCACTGTATGACTCTGACAGGGGACACAGCTCACTCCCTGTGGTCAGAAAAAGCCTCCTCCTGTCTCACAGCGAGCTTTGCACATATGAATTACTGTTTTTCTATTGGTGGTTTGATATTCTGCCTACATGCTCCAGTAGAATCTGTCCACAGATGTTCTCTTTAATCTGAACGGCACATTTAAGACAGGACAAATGCAATCTGCAGCTAAGTGACAGCTTGAGCTTACTCCATGTGGAAACAGCCTCTTTCTGTGAAATTCACAGAGCTACTGAAAAAGTAAGACTCCAGATGTGTTGTGTAAAACGACCTCCTCGAGCACCTGCAGTAAAATTCAGATGTGTGAATGAGAAAAAGAGAGAGAGAGTGTGTGTGTGTGTGTGTGTGTGTGTGTGTGTGTGTGTGTTTATGTGTATGAACAGGGTCAAGAGAAAAGCACAATTCCGACTAACAAAGAAAGAACCACACGTCGCCTCCTGGTTTCAGCTCTGAACTAAAGCTTCTCTGGCTGTAGACTTTTCCAGAATGTGTTAAGGAGCTGTTAGGCCGATTTTCATTATTAGCTTGCGAAAAGAAAGGCAAAAGCATAACAAAATAATGTTTACAGATGAATATTTCAAATTGAGAATGTTATTCAAACACGACTTCTTCCATCTAAAACGTTCAAGTGCAATATATTTTTGTATTTATGATTGTTTTGCACCAGTTTTTCAAATGCTCTGTTGCTCCATTTCTGTGCATTACCTTTTATTATGATCTCATTACTGTCATGATCAACTTTATATATAAAATAAAGTTTATTTTATTAAATAACAAGATGCTTGTGATTATTTTATACTTAAAAGTTCTTAATATTTTTCATTTTTGAGACTTGCATACTTTTATTTATGTGATACTTTCGATGTTTTTACTGTTAAGAGGAGGGGGTTGATTTTCCAGCGTCGTATTGTGAGTACTTCATAAACTACAACTTATACTTCTATGGGGTGGACGCAGGCAGAGCGTCGAATCGCATTGGCTGATTGGTATCACGTGGCTGCAGCATGCTTCACAGCGATAGGCTCTTCCCCAGCTGTGTGACTGGTACTGTCCAATCATATTCATGCAGGTGTGGCGTGCGCTCATTACGACCTGACAGGTGCTGCAGGCTGCAGCTGTCCCAACGTGCTTCTGGTTTCTGGCTTTGGAAGATTTCATTAGTGCTGAGATAGAAAAACTATTTAATGAAAGGGAAGGGGGATACAATTTAAGGGGTCAGTTAAATTATAAAGTTCATGCTATACGTACAACCAAAAAAAGATTTTGTATTTCCATAAGTGGGGTAAAACTATGGAATAATTTAAGTGTGGACATAAAAAATAGTAATAGAATTGACGAGTTTAAACATAAATATAAAGGTATGTGTCAATCAATATATATGCAAGAACAGGCTTAATGATTAATCAGATGGAACATTGTGGGTGTGGTGTATGAATGTTAACACTTTGTAATAATTCTTTAGTATATTACTTGTGTGGTGTAGAAGAGAATTATTTACTGCTTGCAAACCAATGATGGTAAGATGATGCCATGGGGTAGGACTGGATAAGTCTGACTTCTTCCTACTCCATTCAAGCATGTACTAGGTATAAGCAAATTGATATTGGATTAGCATTTGTTGGATATGTGTAAAATTATGTGTGTTGATATATCAACTGTCTTTACATGCTTGAAAGAATAAATAAATCAAATCAATAGTTGGGGTTCGCCTCTGTCCTGTAGGACTCGGTGTCCAGTCGGTTCTCCGTCAGTCTTCGGTTCAGGTGTTGCACCACAGAGGTTTTCCTTCCAGTTTATCTTGGTGACCAGAGGCCTGCTCGCCACCACGCCGGCGTCTGCTACAGTACTGTAAGTGTCTGCTGTTACTTTAACTTTTGGCTCAGTACTTTTGGGTCAGCTCCAGCTTTGTTGTCCTCATACAGAAAGCAGCCTGGGAGCCAGGTGAAACGCGGAAGTGGCAGGTAAGTCAAGTTTGGCCTTATCATCCCCCATCACCAGCAGTTTGGCAGCATGAGAGTTGAAATCATGTCCGTCTGTTAAACCCAGGTGTTGAAGCTCAAACTGGCCTTAGAGCTGTCTTTAGAGTGTCCTCTTCATCATCCAGTTTGCTGCCAGTGTTCTTACTGGTGTGGAGCAGTGTGCTTTTGTTCTCTAGGACAGATTATCAGACCAAACATTTACAGAAAAGTCATGTATTTACAGAAGAGTGTCATGAGGTTTAAGCTCTTCCCAAACCAGCTTGGTGCAGTGGTTGCTGGGCTGTTTTGCAGGTTTGTCAGGTGTGTGTTCTTGACAGTGTCGGTAGCTGTGAGACTCCTGTTGTTGTTGGCTTTTCATCATTGCTGTGCGGTTGTTCAGATGACATTTGTGATGAACATGAATTGTTATCTGCATGCTTGTTGTGCTGCTGGCTGTTCTGACTGCTGAATCTCTGTGTGTTCATGTGCACTGGTGTGGTTCCAGAAAGTTGATGGAGCTGGTGGCCAACTGTATCCTCCTGCGTGGGCATATCTTCTCCTGGGGGTCCTGGAGTTGTTTTGGGGGGTTGCTCTTATGGAGCTCATGCTGTTTATCTTGTCACCACAGAATCTGTTAGTCAAACTCGATTTATGGTTGTTTGTATCATGGTGGAATCTGCAGACTAAGTGCTAATTAGGCTTTTTGTAGGAGAGGAGGGTCTAGTCTGCATAAAAGCAACGTGTTTCTGTATGTGGTGTAGCTACATGTTGGTTGTAGAACGTTTCCACCTATCAGGACACTACTGGAAGTAATCTGCACTACAGAGTTACTTCTCAGATGAGAAGCCACATTTCAACGTGCAGATCACAGTGGCTCTGCTGTCCTGGGGCTGTAATTCACTCCCTGTGGTTTAGTTGTGAGGACTAGCTCACTTAGCAGAATCCTCCTTGTTGCTCGGATCCACTGAGACTCGAACGTCAGAGCCTTTTCTGCCAAGCTGAACTGTGAAAACAGTTTCAGTGACTGGTCACTTCCCTGGTAAATGAAGTATTGTACTTTTTACTGCACCACGTTTAGTTGACAGATACTTAAGGTTTTACATTAAACTAAAAGCCCTTTTCATGTTGGATTGTGGCTTTTATAAAACAGTTACAAGTTATTGTCATGATCAAGGTGTCGGCAGTCAGGGTTCCATTTAAACATGGTGCAGGTTTTAACTCAATGCAGCCTGTGAAAGGCGAATCGAAGCCGCTCTGCACGTGGATCTGTGGTGTTTATGACTCTGTGCCTCTGTCTGCTCAGTTTTACCTTGACTCAGAATTACACAACTCTCTCACAGAACAAAACCCTCCCACATGCACACACTGATGAGAGGTCATATGAATAATGTTTTGGCTTCTGCCAAACAGGCTGCTTCTGTCTGGTGGCTCACAAACACAAACTGGCTTGAACTGGATGAAGAGAGACGGGCACAGACACGGGCGTGCACGCTGGCACACAGACAGCAGCATGTTTTCTGAAGGACCAGGTCATGTTGCATCAAATACAAAGCTGGGAAGGGTGGTGTTGTTTAAAATTTAGTCTTGGTTACTGACTTGCTGGCATGAGAGACACGTAGTCGTCAGGAAGGAGTTTGAATACCAGGCGTCACAACAACAGCCTGTATCTGTCATGAGGAACGGTTCAGGTGTTTGTTCAAGCTGCATATGCACCAGACAAGCAGTCACACACAGGCGTCTTGGCCAGGATCAGCTGGTTCCCAACCTGAAAAGCAACATATGCACATATATTTTCATGCTCTGGTTGTTGTGCGCAGTAGCACAAACTCATTCCATCTGATTCCATAAGGAGCCGAAGCCCTGATGACCTTGTTCGTCTGCAGCCAGTGACCTCTGAGCACTGCCCCGACTGCCAGCGGTCTGTGTTCATATCGAAGCTGTGACACTGAATTCCTGAGAGGTGTAAGCCCTCTCTGAGTGAAGCAGCGACTCAGAGACTAATCCCTACAGGTACTACAGTATCCGGTATCCTGGTGATACGCTGAGGTGAAGAGCAGCCAGGTATTAAACAGCATTCACAAGCTACCCTGCAGGATGTAAAGTACTTATATAAGGTATTTAATATCACCTCTACCTTGACCAGCTGTACCATTAAATGTGGCATGCACAATAATGCACCAGTGTTGTATACATTAGTGTAAACTGTGTCATTATGCACAATGAGTGGTTTTAGTACTTTAAGTTTATTTTACACTAATACTTTGGTACTTAAGCAATACTTCAATGCAGGACTTTTACTTGTAACAGAGTATTTTTACACTGGTACCACTGTGTACAAGTACCTCGATCTTTCTGTGACGTTATTGTCACCTTAGCAGTAACCAGAGCGTTCTACTGGGCTTCTACTCACGTAGTCTCTTCTGAATTTTAGGTGGTAACTAAAAACCCACATTGTTAAAATTTTGAACTCTGACAAAAGTTGTCTTGGAGGCTCTTTGTGGTTCAGTAACTCTCAGGCCCTGGCGTGTAATGGTCCCTCTGCGTGACATTCAGTAGAGACTCTAGTGTTTTCTGTTACAAACTGTTACCTGGTCTGATCTGGATCCTCAGGTTTTCTGAAACTGAAGTGTCGCCAGGTTTGTACAAAGCTAAACAATAACAAATCAATGTGAGAAAGAGATTTCAGCACTGGCCCACAAGGCTGAAGTCGTAGCCTAGTAGGTCCCTTCTCTGAATTCCAACCTAACCAGCCTCGCATTTTGCACACGCCATGCGCACTCAGCAAATTAACATTTTATGTCTATTTCTCATGACTTAGCAGCTGAAGCATTATGTAAATAATTCCATGTGAACCTGACAAAACCCTTTGCATGAAATACAAACTAGTGTGAAACCTTTAGATACGACAAGAAAGTGGAGAAGCAATGACGACAGACACTTTGGTAACAGAGCCCGTATGTTTAAAGTTTTTTTCTGCAAAATACAAATACCACATTTCTGAGAGAGGGACTTGCTGTACATGATCTGCGACAACAGAGGTGCACTTTACTTTTCTTCTGAGAAACATTGTCACCAAGTGGCGACAAAGTCCAGCTTATGCCGCTAACAATCTCTTGCAGCATTTAACCTGTAGTTATTAGAAGCACTGGCGCAGATAAAAGGGGAACGTGCACAGTTACAGTACAGAGGACATTCACTGATGTCATTAAATTTAGTTGAACAGGTGGATACTAATCAAAAACACAAACACAGTATTCCATACTGCGATTGGTTCACACTCGGCCTTCTGCTGCGGGAGGGTCCTTCCTCCACCTGCAGAGCCTGAGCACAAGCTCCCGGCCGTCCTGTCCGTCAGCCAGCTTTGTTGCACTGACGGGTCGGGTGTGGTGACCCCACGGTCATCACCGAAGAAAGAGTGCAGGAGAAAACACCTGGGCCCTGCCCCTTGTTGGACGTGGTTACTAGTCTAAACAGCGCCTTTCAGTCTAGAACAGCTACAGGGATTTAGATGAGTAAATTTAGCCTCTGGATTTACAGTAAACAGGGCACATACAGTACAGACCTGTGGCCGAGGGGGTTTGAGCTCCAAATATACAGTTTTTAAACCAAAATATTCAAATGTGAACAACCCTCAGCCACCAAAATAAAACCACGCGGATATCACTCGGCCAGTCTGCTCAGCCTGCAGCTGGTGCCAGACCCAGTTCACATACAAACCGCTAATTATTCTAAATGTCGTTGTGGGGTTACAGCTCCGAC